TACAAAGCTGAATAGCACCAATATAGGAGTTAGTAAAACAGTGATTGTCTGACCCTTGACCACCCCACCACAGTCCTAATCCCTGAAGCTCAACACTCCCGACTCTTCTAGTGATATGTACTTCCTGAAATATAAATTACTGAGTAAATTTCTAAACAAATTCTTTTACTGCTCTTTGCTGATTTTCCATTTTTGACAGTGGCTATTTTCTTCTTATTACGGAAGAAATGTCCTTTTCTGTTCTGCAGCTTATTAGTGTTCGCTTAATAGTAATAAATATTGTTCACTGCTGAGCTGAGCAGGGCATACTAGTTACACTTTCTTGAGCAACTTTTTCTCTTCCTGGAGGTCACAATTGCCTCACTGTTTTTGGTTGTCTTGCTGTCTGTGACGTTTTTACAAATTCTTACCAAATTATCTAATTGTAAAATTCCTCCAAATACTATTTTCATGTGGCCAAATCTATTGGTAATCCTCTGGTTTCTATCTGCCCGCTGCCACATACCCTCTTGGAGCACCCACCCTCCTGCTCCCCTTGAAATGCTTGCTGGAGCCCTTGCACAGCTGTGTGCTTGGGAAACCCCATCTCTTTCGGGTGTCACTCTCGTCCCCAGTTTCTTTGTTCCTCTCTCTCTGGGTTTCTTTGAGAAAGGGTAAGGAGAAGGTTAATTTTTGTGAGACCCTGCATGTTTGAAAATGGCTTTAATTCTATCTTCCCACTTGATTAATAGTTGGGCCGGGCATAGCATCCTACATTAAAGATCTCTTTTACCCCCTCAAGACCTTGAAGGCAATTGCTCTACTGTTTTCAAGCTTCCAATGTTGCTCTTGAAAAATCTCCTGTGACTCTGCTTCCTGACCCTTTGTGTGGCCCCTGTTTGTTTTCTCTTTGGAAGGTGCTAGAATCATCAATTTGCCCCCATGGTGTGGACATTTTACAGTCAGATGCCTTGGTGTGGGGTTCTTCCCCCACCTACTCCATCTATTTTCCTGGCACTCAGAGGCCTTTTCTATCTAGAAGCTCAGACCTTCAGCTCTGGGAAATATTTTTCATAATATTATTTTCTCCCCATTTTTTCCTTTGTTCTTTTTTCCTTACTAGTCAACGCAGAACCTTCTGATTAAACCCTTCACTATTGGTACCCTATTTCTCCAGTTCCTATCACCTTGCTCAACTTCCTTGGAAATTTCCCAGTGTTCCTTCTGACCCTTCTGTTGAATTTCAGACCTCATCTCTTATATTTTTCATTTCCAAGAGCTCTCTCTCTCTCCCTTTTTTATTGCTCCTTTGAAAAGAACTTGTTTTTTTCATGGATCCAACATCTTATTTCTCTGAAGAGATTAATGATAGTGCTTTAAAGTTTATTTTTTCCTGGTTCATGCATTACCTCAGTTCCCCTGAGTTCATTTTCTTCCTTTTTAAAAATATTTGTATATTTTCTCTTGCTTCACTTTGTAATCTTCCTCAAGAGACTGATCACCCTTGGGCTATATGTTCATATTGAAGAATAGGTCACTAAAAGCTTCCAGAAGTTGGACGTATGGACTTTGCAACTTACTAGCTTCATTGTAGAGTGGCCAGTGGGGACCCAGCCATTTTCTTGGGGTACTCCCAACCAGAAGTATCTGTAGAGCTCTTTCTGGGACCAGTTTCCAGTCCAGGGCTGTGGAGGGTGCAGGGAAGGGGCACCTGGGTGACAGTTCTTTCAGAACCAAGTGGCAGAGGAAGGCAGGGATTTCCAAAGATCCACTCACAGGCGTTTGCCTGCCGCCCAGTTGGAGCATGGTGCTGCACCCTGCTCTCTTCTGTTGGAGCCTGTCTGGCTCAGTTTCCTCACAAAATGTCAAAGTGAGGGGAGGAGCCCCAGGCAGAACTGCTCCTCATACAGACTTGTAATCGGCCTCCCCTGCCGGAGAGGTTCTCAGCTGCAGCTCTCCCCTGCCTTCCACAGTAGCCACAGCTTCCAACACCTGACCCCTTCGGCACGTGTGGCAAGGTCTGTCCCCCTTCTTGCTTACGGTCCCTTTGGTTGGAGCTCGGTTCATGATTTCTCAGCTCTGCTAATTCCTCCATCTGCTTTCCAGCTTCCAAAAATCCGTTGACATCTGTTACCTGCTGATGTCACCTCTCCTGTTCTTTCTGTCCTTGCTGTTTACCTGCTTTTTATTCCCTTGCTCTTCTTCTGCGGGGTTTGGGAAGGAGCTGAACCTGTCCTGTTTAGCAGGAAGCCTCCTCAAACCTTCCTGAAGGGCCGAGTCCTCTTTCTGGCTTTACTGAAGGACTCCAGTGCTGAGAGCTACATCTTTGCTCCTGGAGAATTTGTAAGGCCTGCTTGTCATCAAGGTCAATTTTATTTAGAAAAGTAATGGAGACTCAATTAAATGTTGCCTGAGTCCAGCTTATTCCTAGAAATGGTTGCTTTTAAATAAGTTATAATATTATAACACATTGTTTAATTATATTTGTGTGGTTAGTTTTTTTTTCTTAAAACTGCATGGAAAACAACTCCTGGTTGTCTTCTCTCTGGAAATGAGAGTTCCTTATGGGCTAGGTCCTGGCTAGCCAAGGCTTTGGTGGAGTTCAGAGCTTGGCTAGGCTGGACTCAGTGTTCTCTACGTGGCATCTATTAGAAAAGGTAGTGAGGCCAGAGGCTGCATGGGAGGAGTTTAACTCCAGAAAGCCAATCTGCCTCAGAGACCTTAAAACCCTTCTAACAAGGGTGTTAACTTTTATTTTTAATTTTATTTTTTATATATCTTTATTGATTTCAGAGAGAGGGAGAGAGAGAGATAGAAACATCAATGATGAGAGAGTCATCATTGATCGGCTGCCTCCTGCATGCCCCCTACTGGGGATGGAGTCCTCAACCCGGGCATGTGCCTTGACTGGGAATCCAACCGTGATCTCCTGGATCTTAGGCCAATGCTCAACCGCTGACCATGCCCGGCCGGGCAACTGTGTTAATTTTTAAAAGAATGCCTATCTATTCATTAAAGAAAGCTCCCCTCTCCTCCCCAACACATAAGGCACAGGGCATTTACTTGGCCGCATTGAAGATGACCATATGGATATAAAAGTGATGACACTGCTGTGTTTTAATGAAGGTCTTGAGTTTCACCAGCTGCAGGGTGTCCCCAGGGTGGTGACAGGGTCTGTGGGGGAGGGGGGTAGTGCTGGTTCTCATGGAGCCTTCTCTCTGTCCTTGCCTCTCCAGGTGCCCCCTTTCAAAGGTCTCAGCATCCTCACGCTACCTCCTGCCGCCACTTCCACCTGGGTCCCCCGCAGCCGCAGCAGCTCACGCCCGACTTCCCCCTGGCCCACCCCGTGCAGTCGCAGCCGGGCCTCAGCGCCCACATGGCCCCGGGCCACCAGCACAGCGGCGCCCTGCACCAGTCATTGACCCCGCTGCCCACCCTGCAGTTCCAGGACGTCACAGGTCCCTCCTTCCTACCTCAGGCCCTGCACCAGCAATACCTCCTGCAGCAGCAGCTCCTGGAAGCCCAGCACCGCAGGCTCGTCTCGCACCCCAGGTGGGTGCTTCCTGGGGCGGGCCTGGGGTGGGACAGGGCCTGGGCCAAGGGCAGGACCATAGTCACTAAGCGGGTCTGAGCAGAGGCAGCTTTTGCTCCAGTTAGATGAATTCATTTCAGGCAGTGAGCACTACCTTGACTCCACATGGGCTCCCTCATAGCTAGTGTGTGTCCCTGTCACATTGCCCAGGCACAGGGACAAGAGCTGGGTAACTGGTGATGCTTACAGTGGAATTTTGCATGTTGTGGGAGATTTGACCAGGTACCATTCATGTCCCCAGTAGCTTCCTGATCACCTGGTTCTAGAACTCAAGATCCCTAAGGAATACCAAAGGACACAGCTGGTTCAGCCCTACCTTCAAAGAGTCCCTGGTCTGGTTGGAGAGACCTGCTATGGACCAAAGGGAGAGTAAAGTTAGAAAACACTAATCGAAGTGTCTGAAGGAGCTGGGCAAACCTGGGAAAATCATCCCCTCATGAGCCTCAACAGCCAAGAGAAAGAGTTGGACTAACTTGGTGGTTCTCAAGTTTCTGTGTTTATGGTTATGACTATTGATACTTACTAGATTAGAAAGTAAAACAGAAGTTTTAAAAATATTTATCAGTTCATTTAAAAATAACAACAAACTCATTATATGTTAACACCAATAATATATTTTTGAAAAATAGCTATATATTAATGTGGTAAGAAGAGTGACCTCCCCCCCTTTTTTTAGAACATATTTGCAAATCTCTTTAAAGCCTGGCTTAATAGAAGACAACTATGTTCTCATGTCAGCTTCTGTTGCAGAACCACATGTCACATAGTTATGGGAACTCTCTAGTGTTCATTTGTGAGAAAATGAAAAAGTAAATATCATCAAAAGTATGAAAATAAGTTTGAGCTCACAAACCCCGTGAAGGAATTCCCAGAGGTGCTGGCAGCACACTTTTTGAACCTCTGGACTAGATGATCTCTAAGGCCATAAACATCCATAACTGTAGGGGTTGGGTGTTTAGGACAGAAGGTGAATGTTATAGGGGGTTAGAGGGAGGAGAGGTCACCATAACTAGAGTGTTCAGGGAGGACTTCCTGTAGGAGGTGGCTTTGACTTGGGCTGTGAAAGCTGGGAAGAGTGTGAAGAAGGGTGAAGGAGAGAAGAGCATGGTGGGAACAAAGGGTGTACAGAGGTGGGAGAGCCTGTAGGAGACAGATCTGAGTGTCTTGAAGACAGCCCGCCAAGGACAAGGGGAGTAGGAGAGGGCGCAGAAGAGACAGAGAGCCTGGCTGGGGCAGGTGACCTGCAGCAAACCCAGGAAAAGGCCTCAGTATAGTGGGCAGCCGGAGAGAGCAGGAATGTCTGAGTTATTGGCTGCTGCTCAGCTGGGAAGCTTCCTCAGAATTTGCGGAGTGCAAAGCCCACTGCTCTGTAGGCTGGCTGGGGCTGCTCAGAGCTCCCGGAAGCTGGGCTGGCCCTGGCAGCGCTGACGCCACGGGCCCTTCTTCCCTTCTGGTGCAGGCGGAGTCAGGAGCGAGTGTCTGTCCATCCCCATCGACTCCACCCCAGCTTTGACTTCGGCCACCAACTCCAGACACCTCAGCCCAGGTATTTGGCTGAGGGCACTGACTGGTGAGTCTTTGGGGTCCCTGGGAGAGGGATGGTGGGTAGAGAGTCTTGCCTGATCCATGGAGTTTCTGTTTCCTTCACTTGAATGGTGCAGGAGGCCTGGTCTTCAAGCCCCAGCCTTTGCCCCTGTCTCCAGTCACCCTCAGGGCCAGATGGCCCCCTACTGGGCCTGGGTCTGGCAATGACCTCAGATGTGGCTGGGTTCCCATGTGCCCAGACTGGGGCTCAGTGCTCCTGCTTCTGCTGGGGAGGTGGGGACAGAGATACAAAATATTTCCCAAGCTCAGTGAGGGCTAGAAACCAGTGGTCCTTGGGAAGAAGGCAGAAAGAAGAGTCTCAGGAGCTAGGGTAGTAAGGAAAGGCTTCCTGGAAAGAGTGAACCTCAAGGAATCCACAGGGAAGAGCCAGGGCATGCCAGTAAGGAGGCAGAGCCGGCCATATTGGAGGCAAGGACTCGGAAGATGCTGGGGAGAGAGGTTGAGGGTGGTGTTGGCACTGGGCCACTGTGAAGTCTTCCTGCAATCTCCTGCATTTGGGACGGAGGTCTTTGTTGACCTAGGATGTAGTGTTGCTTGGTTTTAGATTCTCAGTCCCACCAGACTCTGATTCTAGCTGAGGAGAGGGTTGATCTAAACTCCAGTTGGACCTGAACACCCAAACACTTGAAAAAGGCATGCAGTTCCCTGAAGTAGTTAGAGCTAAAGGGCATCATGCCTGCAACTTATTTTTATTTTTAGTTTATTATTTTTAAAAAGTATGTTTTTATTGATTTCAGAGAGAAGAAGGGAGAGAGAGACAGGAACATCAATGATGAGAGAGTCATTGATCAGCTGCCTCCTGCACGCCCCCTACTGGGGATCGAGCCTGCAGCTCAGGCATGTGCCCTGGTCGGGAATCGAACTGTGACCTCCTAGGTCGGTGCTCAACCACTGAGCCATGCCAGCTGGGCCCAATTTATTTCTAAATAGTTCAGAAAAAAATTCATGGAGAAGTGTGTGTGTATATATGTATGTATGTATGCAGGGAGTGCGGGGGAGAAAAATGCAGTAGAATAGAAAAATGTTAACACTTGGTGAATCTGGGTGAAGGGTATCCAGGAATTCTCTGTGCTGTTCTTGCAACTTTGAGGTCAAATACTTTTTTTTTTTTTAAATGTAGAAACAAACATACAAAACCCCAGAAAAACCTCAACGAGAAGGAGGACTATTAAGCAAAATAGCAGTGCAGTTGTGTCATTTCTCAGCCATTTAGTCACACAGATTGGCTTAGCCAAGGTTTGTTTGGGGGCGACCTAGGACAGGACACCTAGGCATGATTCAAAAGGCTGTTCTGGTTGATGGAAAGAGAATGGTGCTTCCAAGCACAGGAAACAGTTGTTTTGACACGTTCTGATGTCCCTAGCCCCTGCTGGCTCTCCGGTACACTCTGTTAAATTGAACACTCCCTTTAAAGATAGAGTGCATGGCGGCTGACTTCAGCCCAGCTTTTTCTAATTAGCAGATTCAAATCAGGAAGATTTAATTGCAGTTTGGATTGAATTCTGTCCCTCAGCATCAAGTCAATCCAGTTTAATTCAATCCAGCCCACATGGGGCACCCAGGGCCCTTGCATACAGCTAAAAGATCTGAATAAACACATGGGCTCCAACGTGGCAAATGGGACTGGACAGGTGACACAAGTGAGAATTGTCCTGGAGAGATGTCAGGAGGAGCAGTGCAGGCATTGGCCTTGGCCACTTTCTTTATTTAGCCAAATCTCCTCACCTTTCTCATTCATTTCAATCACTCTGCATTCCTGGCCCCTGCTTGTTGGAGAAACGTGAAGACAGGCCCCAGAGGCTGGTCCGTGCCCCAGCAGGGGATGCTGGGAGGCCCCTGTCCTGATCCCACTGGAGCCCACTCCTGGGCCCTTCCTCCCATTTCTGTCCCCACTTCCCAAGTAGTTAGCCCTTTTCAGAGGAGGAGGCAACAGTTTCTCCTCCCTTGTAATTAGCTCTGCTCCAGCAAGGGCCAGCCTCCTGTGACAAGGGGCCTTTTGTCACTGTGATCATGCCAATGGCATCCTGCCCCTATTTTCCAGGGAGGCATCTTCTGCCAGGAGAAGCACAGTCTGGAAATGAGATGGCAGGAAATGAATGATAGGAGGGGCTCCTCTCACCCTCTTCAAGGAGCCGAGGAGCCGTGGGAGGGAGGAGGTGGGGAGAGTGTGTCTGCAACGCCCTCCCACCCCCTTTCCTTTAAGAGAACCATCAGAAACCACTGAATTCTGTCCTAAATAATTTCAGGAATTAAGACACTACAAATGCCCTTTTCCAGCCCCAGGCTTTTCCCTCTTTAGGATATTTTAATTCTACCGAAGCAGCTTCTCTCAACCAGGACGCATGCTCCCTTTCTGGCCCAGACCCGATAACCTGACCCTGACCTTGAGCCACTGCTCCAGTGTCTCCATCCTCAGCATGCTCCCTTTATGACTTAGTCCTGGCTTTGCAGTCCCAACTCTGACCCCCAGTGCAGACGGCACCCTGCGCCACCACCCAAGCCTAGCCCTGCCCAAGCGGAGGCCTCCAGGCACCTGGATCTGTGACGGGTGGTGTGTGCAGGACAAGAACCTCCTCCTCTCCTTCCCCTGCAGGCAGCTCTGCCTCAGCAAAGCTGCCTGACTCTCACTTTTGGAGCAAGCTCTGTGCGAAGTACATAAGGTTCAGTGGCGCAGCCAGACTACTCCACACTCCAAGGCCATTGACAGCAGAAGACAAAGTTCAGATTGATGTTTAAGAAAAAAAGAGTTTAACTTATTTCCCAGAGGACATACTCATCAGGAATTACTCCAAGGATCCAGGCTAATATATATAGAAAATACAGGAATATGTACATTATATTATATATTTATCATGGCTGGAAGCAGAAATTCCTTTAATACCATATGTAATATATTGAAGACATCAGGTACTTTTTCTGCAGCTCCCCTTATCTGGATTTTGCTGGTCACACTCTGGTGGTATCACTTACAATGTTCCTCAGTTTCCTATGTTCCCCAAACACTGGCACTTAAATCAAGACATAAGCAGATTCAGGTTTAGCTCTTATTTTTTGGAAAAAATAACTTTAAAGGTGGTGTTTTTTTCCAGCAGGAAGCCGGTTGTCTCTCCTTTTGAGATGTTAGTAGCAACTGATGATCTTTGCCTGCAAGATCCTTTATTTCTTTAGGGTATACAAAAAGGAGACAGATAATTCAATCATTCCGTACTCATTTATTAGCTAGAAAACTTTTATAAAGAGAAATTCCCCTTCATCAACTACTTGGTTACCCTGAAGTATAGTTAACAGAAGAAAGGCAAGATAAATGCTTGGTTTCCCCCCTTTATTTACTAGTTTTCAAAATGAGGAGTTAGTTCCCTACTATCCTTCAAAGGAACCAATTTTCTTTAGCATCATCTCACTCTCATGGGTTTGTACCTGTTTGACGTGTTTCAATCTATTGCAGTTACGCTCGTTGACATGCAAATTGTCCAAACTCTGGCCTGTTGCAACCTCTTCAGGATAGTTTTGACATGACCCTGGTGCAGTTTTCAGTTATGACAAAATATTTCATTCAATCTCATTTTGCACATTTCATTCTCCAGACCCAAAATTAGCCATTGTTCGAAGGAGCCCTGGTTCCTCTTCAGTTGAATTCACTGATCAATTTTTAAGTAAAATAAAATTTCCTATACTTTTAGGAGTGAGGTGGGGGGTATGGTCCAGGATAACTTGTCCTGCCTCACAGGTGTCGAGTTCCTCTTGTTTTCTCCAGGCCTCTGCCGCCCCCTCCACCTTGTCTTTGCTCCAAATCTCCGACCAGTCCTATTTGGATTTTTCTCTTAGCATTTCTCTTGGGGTGGGCTGTGTCCTGGGAGGGTGCTTAGGTGCACTAGTTTCAAGAAGTTGTATGAGGTTGTGACTGTCTTAGCTCCTGCAGACCTTGCAGAACCCTTTTCTTCTCTGAGTCTCATTTTCATCTCTGTAAAGAAAGGGGCCGGGTAAGCTGAGGTCTAGTTTCTTGCAGCTCTGGCAGTTTGTGACGGCTTGATGTCTGAAGTTCCTTCTGTAACCTGGCGGCTGAGTCACCCACCTGTGGCTCACTGTGGCTGTGTCCTTGCAGGGATCTCAGTGTGGACGCCGGCTTGAGTCCTGCTCAGTTCCAGGTGCGGCCCATCCCTCAGCACTATCAGCATTACCTAGCGACGCCTCGAATGCACCATTTTCCCAGGAACTCCTCCTCCACGCAGATGGTGAGCGAGGGGCTCTGCCAGGAAGCTGACTCCTGTTGCCTGTTGGGGGACATGGTGGGCTGAGGCCTGCAGATCCCTTGTGTCCTGCTCCCTGTGTCCTCCATGTGTCCTGCTCTGTGTGTCCTGCTCCCTGAGTCCCGTGTCCAACTCCCTGTGTCTTCCTCTGTGTATCCTGCTCCCTGTGTCCTGCTCCCAGGCAGGCCAACTGCTCCCCTCCCCCCCAACTCTATTCCCACTCTGGCTTGAGGGCAACTGTTGGACTAGAAGCTCGTGCTGCTGAAAGGACTGAGTGGGAAGGAGGAAGGTGTGGACTGTGGGGAAAGGCTCAGGGCTAAGAGCAGGCAGGGAGGTCCCTGGAACTTGTATGACCACACTTAGTGAATTTCTCAGGGTCAGTACCTCTCTAGGCATTAGTTTTACTTACCTGTGAAATGGGGTGAAAACACCTGCCTGGCTCATCTCACAGGACTGATGTAAGGAACAGAAGAGACCCAGAGGTGGCCCTGGGGCCTGGCCTGCTGATCCAGTCAGCTCTCTGCAGGGGGCTGGGCTTCCCTTCACTGCAGGGTGCTGACACTGCAAAAGGATCAGGTTGGGTTCGGGGGCATGGCAAGCTGCATGGAATGAAGGTGAAGATGTTCCATTAAAGTAGCAAATAATAATAATAACAATAATAAAGTAGCAAAAGACTGAAAATCTTCTTATTCCCAGGCAGCTTCTTCACGTTGCTGGCCCAAAGCACAGTTCCAGCTAGCCTGCACTTGCCTCTGCCTCCACCATTCAGCACCTCAGTCTCCTGATCTGTAAAATTGGGGGCGTGGGCCAGTAATCTTGGCAGTTAGTCCCTTTAGCTCTGAGGCCCTATGGTTTGTGTTATAAAGCACCATTTCCTGAGAATAAAAGGTAACATTTATTGAGCACCTACTGCATACCAGGCACTGTTCTAAGCACTTTACATGAATTATTTCCTTTAAGCCTCTCAAGAACCCCACACGATAGGGTAATATCCCTATTTTACAAGTTGGCAAACTGAGGCATAGAGAAATTAAGTAACAGGCCAGGATCACGCACTGAGTGAGATGAGGAGCTAAGCTGACACCTGGCCCTCTGACCCCCACCTGGGCCAGGGCAGGGTGGGTAAGGCAGGGCCAGGCAAGTACAGGGCCAGATCCTCTCTTTATTGAAAAATTTGACATTTTGTTCATTACGGATACCTTACATTAATTTTGATTTAAAAAAATATCGCATGAAAATATTTTTGGTCTTGGTTACTAAGTCCTTTGTTGCCCCCTTCAGTGTTGTGCCCTTTCTTGCCCCACCCTGGTCGGACAGTGTGGAGTCGAGGGGAAGGGAATTGCCTCTGCCCCCCAACTGCCTGTGTTTGAAACGGCAGCTCTGCGCCACTCAGCTGCATAACTTGGGCCGCTCACTTCTGTGTCGTATTAACCCTATCAGTAAAGCGAGGATAGTAATTGCACCCACATTACAAATCCTTACATTTTTAGTTATGTGAAGGGCAGTGCCTGGCATGAAATAAATGCCCCATCAGTCTAGCTGTTACTTTATTGATTTTGTTTTTCTTTCTGGGGCTGGTCCAGTGCAGGCTTGGTTCTTGAGGAGGTGAGGGAGACCAGGAGCAGGAACAATGGCACTTCCGTCCACAGTTTCTTAGGGTGTGCAGATTGGTGGTTATGGGAGGAGGAGGGGGAAGCTGGGGTCATGAAGACTTGAGTCCTACCTGAGGCGTTTCCTCCCCAACAGGTCGTCCATGAAATCCGAAACTACCCTTACCCTCAGCTTCACTTCCTCGCCCTCCAAGGACTGAACCCCAGCAGACACACCTCTGCCGTGAGGGAGAGCTACGAGGTATGCCCGCCCCTCTGCCTGGGAGCCCTCCTGCCAGCCTGGCTCCAGCGGGTTGGCGGAGAAGCCATTGCCATTCATCATTGCCATTTATCATGCCCTCTCGCCTTTTACCCTGCTGGTGGGTAGGACACGAGTGGGGTAAGAGGGGCCTGAGGGTTGAGAGGAAGAGGTAGAAAGAGAGAGAGCGAGTAGAGGTATTTCATTCTTTCAGACAAGTTCTCGATGGCAGTGTGAGCGCCGCCTGCTAACACCTCTCAATGCCTCTGTGCCTTATCACGTGTGTACACGTGCCTTTGCAGACGAGTGCACACGTCCACATTTTTCTCTTTGCAGGAGCTTCTGCAGCTCGAGGACAGACTGGGAAATGTGACTCGGGGAGCTGTACAGAACACCATTGAAAGGTTCACCTTCCCCCACAAGTACAAGAAGGTGAGTCAGCCAGCAGGCCAGCCTGCATAGTAGGGCTGAGGGTGGGAGGAGGGGGGCAGAGGTTATCTAGTTGACCTTGGCCTGGTTGTTCACAGAGGGCACAGTCCAAAATCTAGACGCCTTTGTTCTGGTTAGATGCTCTGAAGCTGCAATACCGTCCTGGGATCTTCCCCTTTGCCTCTGTCAGGTGTGACCAGGAGGGGAGATGGTGGCCTCTCATCGGTAGGGAAGGGGATGGGTATGTGTGCACATGTGGACTTGTGAGTGGGTATATTGGGAAGGTGCACAGGGAAATGAATGTTAGTATCTGAGTGGCTGAGCAAGGAAGCACCTGCACTGAAGGCTAAGACTTGCCTTAGAAAAGAATTCCAACTCTAGTCTCATATGTAGACGAATGGGCAACTGAGGCTTCAGAGCAACATTTCCAGTTCTCACTGAGCATCAGGATCATATGGGGGAGCTTTTAAAGCAACAGATTCACAGGCTTTATCCTAAGCCTACAGAGGTGGACTTCCCAGAGTTATCACCAGGAATGTGAGGTAGGATTAGAGGTCAGGAATCTGAGTGAAAAATTTTAAAAATTAAATTAAAAAAAACTGGAAGCAACTAAGATGTCTCTCAATAAGTGAACGGATAAATAAACTGTGGTATATCCATACAATAGAATATCCCATGTAAAAAAGAAATGAGCTATTAAGCCATGAAAAGACACAAAGAAACCTGAAATGCATATTACTAAGCGAAAGAAGCCATCCTGAAAATGCTGCATACTGTATGATTTCAAAGGCAAAACTAGAGACAATAAAAAGATCAGTTATTTCCAGAGGCTTCAAGAGAGGGAGGGAAGAATGAATAGGTAATTCACAGGGGACTTTTATGACAGTGAAACTATTTGGTATGATACTTTAATGGTGGATACATGACAATATGCATTTGTCAAAATCCATAAGGCTGTTTAACACAAAAAGTAAACCCTAATGTAAACAAGCAGACTTCAGTTAATAATAGTGTATCACCATTGGTTCATCAGTTGCAACAAATGCATCACACTAATGAGAGATGTCAATAATAAGGCAAATTGTGTTGAGAGGCAGAGGGAAATGGGAACACTGTATTTTCTACTCAGCTTTTATGTAAACTAAAACTGCTGTAAAAATAAAGTCTGATATGAAAACAAATGAATAAATATTTTTTTAAAATTTAAGAATTAAAGGTTTGACAAGTACTAAGAAACTTAGAGCAGAAACATGCTCATTGTGGTCAAGCCAGGGCCCATCTTCACCTCCTCACGAGGCCCTAGGATACAGGGTTTGTGAACTTAGGTGTTGGAACCAGACAGTTTTGAATTTCAGTTTTACTACTATCTCAGTCAGTTTGAGCAGCTATAACAACATGCCATTGACTGGGTGACATTTAAGCCAAGATCAAGGCACTGGCAGATTTGGTTCTTGGCCAGGGCTCTCTTCCTGGCTTGCAGATGGCTGCCTTATTGCTTTATCCTCATATATGGAGAAAGGAAGCTCTGGTGTCTTTTTCTCCTCATATAAGGGCACTAATCCCATCATTGGGCTTCATTTTAGTGACTTGATCTAAACCTAATCACTTCCTAAAAACTCCCTCATAATATCATCACATAGGGGGTTAGGGATTTAACATCTGAATATTGTGGCGGAGGCAGGGACAGACAGACATTCTGTCAATAACCACCACCTATAACTGTGTAACTCTGGGCAACTTAGTTGGCTTTTCTGGCCCCCTCCCCTGGCTTTTTGAATTTAAAGGGGGAATGATATGTTAGTAGCTACCATGTGGAGTGCTCTGAGGATTCAGTGGACAGTGCACTTACATAGCTCAGCACAGTGCCACGTAAGTGGTAAGTGCTCAGCAATGGTGAACTGCTCTCCCCTGGATGGGAAGCTCACTTGTTCTAAGCCTATGTGGTCAACATCAAAGACCATGAATCTTGGTCTGTGTACCTCCTTGTAGAAGCACTGACTTTAGCCATAAGTGATTTCAACCAATATTTGAGTATCTACTATGTGTCAGACATGGATAATGTGCTAAAAGAGGAAATGATCATTCTCTGGAGAGAGAGCTTCAGGTTATTGGAAAAGAACATGGAAGGGAATGAGGCATGTTCAGGAGCCTGGAGCAGCTTCTGACCAGGGTGTGCTTGCTCCTGCCAGGGCCACACACTTCACCTGCCTTCACTGCAAGAGGCCCTGAGAAGACAGAAAAGAACACATACAAAGGATGAAAAGGAAAAATGGACTGAATCAATGAGATAAAGAGTTGAGTTAAAAATTTATGAGAATAAAGGGAGAATTATGGGAATAAAAATATTATAAAAAAGCAATAAGAATAATTTTAAAATGAGAAATGATAAAGTTTAAGACCCACATGAAATGTAAAAATAAACTTTAAAAATTTAAACTGAGAGTAAAATCATATAAAACAAAAAATGGTATTTTAAAATAGTAAGGATATAAAAATGAAAAATACAGAAAAATAATTAGGAAAAGATATGAAAACAATATAAAACTGAAATCAGTAACATCAAAGTGAAAAGGAATGTTAATGAAAATGAGAAATAAGGGCAACAGAGATAAAATAAATATTAAATTCATTAAATTCTGAAAAAAAGTTAGTTAAAATAAAACTTGCATAGATAATGAAAAGACAAAAACCAGAAAACCTAAAAGATTAAAACAGAGTTTTGAAAAGAGAATGGTTTAAAGAAATATAGGTTAGATGTGGTAAAACAAGGTATAACTAATAAGTTAAAATTATTAACTATGAAAAGGAAATCATAAAACAATTGTGGAAAAAACAATAGAAAATAAGCAAATAGTTGGTTGAGTCTTAATGGTATCCTTTATTGAACTTCTCTTTTTTCTCAGGACTGATTAAAATGAGGCCACTCCTCCAGCAAACACAAATAGGCTCTCAGGCAGGCAGGTCATCATGACTCCATTCATCCTCAAAAGCCATGACAATTATATGGGACTCAGAATGTAATTCTGATTTTCTGGATTCTCGATAAGAGGGAAATTATTGCAACCACCTGGTGGGGTTTGCAGTGGGGTATAGGGCACAGGGAGGCTTAGAGCAGAAGGCATGGGCATTCTTATATGTTCCAGTGAGGTTATAGTATTCTCCAGAAAAATCAGACTAAGAAACTCCAGAGCTTAGGACCAGGGACAAGGGACCAGAGTGGTTCTATCTAGGCCTGGCCCCAAGGTCATAGTCATTCTCTGGGTGTCTTCATTTTGGGACTCTCCAGATTTTTCTCTCTGCAAAATGACCTCTAAGTCTGCTTATTCCTGGAGAGGGGACCGAAGGGCTAGTTTTCTTCCCATGGGTATTATCAGACTGTTTCACAGCACAGCATGGAGATGGGAACATAAAAGGTATGCCTACTTTTTAATATATTTTTTAAACATTCACTGATTATATTCCTTCCTCCCCAGAATTAAGCATCAGTGATGTACCTGTACTTGGCCAAGGGTGGGGTGATACCTAAAGAAGAGTGAGCTATGGTCCGTGCCATTGAAGAACTTGAAACTTCCCACATAGTGGTTAACTATTTTGAAATAATTATCATAGAATTTAAAACAGAATAATTAAAGTCAAAGTATAAACAGAGTGCCTACATGACTAATCTCATGTTGGAACTAGTGCCTATCTTAAAAGAACTTTTTGGATAGGAAGAGATATCCAACAATATAAAATAACTGTGGTACAAATTACAGATGTTAATACCAGGTTGAGGATTTTTTTCTTTATCTAGTAATGGATGAAAAATGAATAGATATTCATAACTGGAAGGAAGAAAGGAAGGAAAGAAAGAAGGAAGGGCCTGACTGTTGTGGTGCAGTGGTTGAACGTTGACCCATGAACCAGGAGGTCATGGTTTGATTCCAGGTCAGGGCACATGCCCGGGTTGTGGGCTCAATCCCCTGTAGGGGGCGTGCAGGAGGCAGCCGATCAATGACTCTCTCAATAATGTTTCTATCTCTCTTTTCCTCTCCCTTCTTCTCTCTGAAATCAATAAAAATATTTAAAGAAAAAAAAAAAGAAAGAAGGAAGGAAGGAAACATGGATGAATGAGTGAAACCTGGAGGCAGGGATCTAGGTTGGAAAGGGTGTAAGGATGAGTGGACTGAATAAGGGGAACAGAAAAGGTAAAGTTGTTTATGCACAGCCATTGTTTGCAAAGGATTAATTCATTGGCACTCAATTCCTTTCCAAACTCTATGCTCCTAGGACAGTATAAAGTTTATGCCTGGGACATGAATCGACTGGAACAACAATAATAAAGTTCACTTGGCTTTGAACCCTCTGAATTCTGCAGCAAGGAGGAGGGATTGGAGATTAGGCAGGGAGAAGGGTCTGGGAAGAGCATAGAGAAGTCTGGATATTACTTAGGCGCTAAAAAGAGACTGTCTCACTGGAGGAGGGGGGTGGGGGAAGAGGCTGCAAGGGAGGGGGAAGACTGGATGAAAGACAGTGACCACCAGGTGAGTCTGCTCCAGCTAACAAATGCTCCTCCTTTGCTTCTCATAGAGAAGACCCCAGGATGGCAAGGGCAAGAAGGAAGAGGGGGAGGAGTCAGACACAGATGAGAAATGCACAATTTGTCTGTCTATGCTGGAAGATGGAGAAGATGTGAGGTAGGAAGCTGGCCTCTTGGATTCCCTCTCCCTTCCCTCGTGGGTATTGGTGACCAGTCATGTGCTGTGTGTTGGGGTAAGGCTTGCTTGTGTGTGTGTGTGTGTGTGTGTGTGCACGTGCCAAGTGTGCCACAGTGGGCTTTGTGGTTGTTCTAGGATGGTGGGGTGTGGAATGTTCTAGATGTGTGGTGCCTGTGGATACTAAGTTTAAGAGAACAGCCTGATACTTGGCCTGGATGGGTCTAAGACAAAGTCATGGCTTTGTCTCAGGCTGAACTGAGGGCTTCATGCAGAAGGAGGAGTTTGGGGCTCTCCTTCCTGCTGTGACTTCCCATCCCAGCCACAGCCTCACTCCATGATAGAACTCCCAAGACCCTCTATGGCCCGACCCCTAGTAGTCCTGGGCGTGAGTCTCCTGGCCCCTTGAGTAGCCATTATTCCTCAGCTTCTGGCCCAGCCCTGGGCCCCTCCCCCTCAGCCATTCCTCTGATTCGCCCCCTCTCTTCCAGGCGCCTACCATGTATGCATCTTTTTCACCAACTGTGTGTGGACCAGTGGCTCGCCATGAGCAAGAAATGCCCCATCTGCCGGGTGGACATTGAGACACAATTGGGAGCTGACAGCTGAGGAAGGAATCAGCCAGTGGACACCCCATTTTCCTTCACCAGGTCCCTCCACGGCCATAGCCCTTGCAGCCAAACTTTGCCTTCTGAGCCATTTGAAGTAGAGGAAAAGCCTGCAGGCACATTTTGTGGAGAGAAGAGTTGGTGGTATCAGTGTCTGAGGGAAGGAAGGGTTGGGGAGGACCTACCCATCCACAGTGGTGACTGTCCCTATCTGCCTCGCTGCGCGGGGGGGGGGAG